TGTGTGTGTGTGTGTGTGTGTGTGTGTGTGTGTGTGTGTGTGTGTGTTTAGGGAGTAAAACATTATAAAGTCACCTCTACTGACCAAATGGAGTCCTACTCCCTCTCCTCAGAGGCAACTGCCCATATGGGTTTAGTTTGTTATCATTCCAGTCCATTAAAAAAATCTGCAGTTCACAGACAAAATATGTGATACTATGTGAGTGATTTTTTAAAAGTATTATAAGGATAGCATCAAACTCTACTTTATGTTCTATGCTTTCTTTATCACCTATCATCATCATTTGGATCTTATGAGTATACAAGGCTTTTCTAAGCATTACATAAAATATAGAATTTACTTTTAGAATTAAGATCTCCAGACAAGTGTAGTATCTTTCCACTACCACATTGGCTCATTAAACTGTTCTCATTAAGAATCTTTTAAAATTTAGAAATACGCTTTTAATTTTGATTAAACATCTATCTGGTCTTTCTAAGTTGTAACAGAATAAAGAAGAGAGGAGAAACATGTAAATACAAGGTAATTTTTGAGCACTTTATGCTTACCAAAAAGCTAAATAAAAGTGCCTCCTGAACAGAAAGTTTATTACTTTAGCCTGCAGAGGGATGGTTCAGGTAGGAGTAATACATTAGCGTTTGGTGAAAAGTGACTTCCTTCCCTGGGTTAAATCAATTTGTATACTTGGAAATGGCAAACCTTAAAACTGCACATAGTAAAACATCACGGCACTTAAAATTAAAATACTCTGGTTCAGGAGTATTTTAATACAGTAAACCATTAAATACAGTAAACCATTAAAAGTCACATTTAGTTGAACAGAATTCCAGAATATCTTAATATCTTACTGTCTTTTCTCATTTCTCCACATTAGAAATGAGAGGCTTTACTGCTCAGATGCTGCAAAATAGGAGTATAAATATAACTACTGGGATTTTTTTTGGCTTATCAAAATATTTTATTTTAGGAGATCCCTCAAAAAAAGACCCTCTATATTAGATAGAGGCCCTAACAATACCATGACCTTCTTTTGGTCTTTTCTATATCTTTTCCTTTTTAAATCAAGTAAAACAATTGGATGCTTAAAATAAAACTACTCCCAGAATTCCAGAATATCTTATTATCTTTTCTGTTTTCCACATTGGAAATGAGAGGCTTTACTGCTCAGATGCTACAAAATAGGAGTATAAATAGAACTACCATTTTTTAAATTTTGCTTATCAAAATATTTTATTTTAGGAGACCCCTCAAAAAAAGACCCTCCACATTAGATGCCCCAACAATACCCTTGGCCTTTTTTTGGTGTTTTCTGTATTTTTTTCTTTTTAAATCAACTAAAACAATTTGATGCTTAAAATAAAAGACAGGAAATATTTCCTGATCAAACTTTAGTCAAGAATATATATATATATATTTTTGATGCAGGAGCGGGTGAGGAGAAGGAAGGTGCAGCCAGTGGTTCACGAAATAGAACTACCATTCTGTTGTTAAGAGTGAAATGTTGATGAATTAGACCAGGAATTGGCAAACTTTTTCTGTAAAGGGTCAGATAGTATTTTTAGCTTTGCAGGCCTTATGGTCTCTTATGGCTACTGTACTGTTGCAGGCAAAATCACCTATAGATAATACATAAACAAATGGACAAGACTAATTGGATTCCAATAAAATGTTACTTAGTTAGATCTTTGTTGGGTTTAAGGCAGTAGTACACTGGTAAATATTTAAAACTGGCTTTTGAGAGAGGGGAGGAAACTCTGATTTGTAGCATTTGCTCATTTACATGGCGTAGATACTCTCACCATGGTTGATTTCAAACTGTCAAGTTGACATCACTGAGCAGGGAGGTAGAGATGCAGAATAGCACACCATCATATTGCATTTTCATCATACAGATACATTAGATGTAAATAACCTCACCAGCAGAGAAAATAGTGAAATAATTAGAAAGCGATGAGTTTGGGGTATTTATTACATTTGTTTTTAATATAATTTATTTGTAAATGTAAATAAATTAATTTTTAAAAATGTCTATGTATAACATCTGGCTCGCAAAATTCATAAAAAATCTAACAATGGGCTCTAGTGAACCAGTATAAGCCTACTCCAGCACACCATTGTGTCAGAGGACATAATCAAGAATTTGGATTTAATAAGTTGCCTGTTGAATCATAAATAAAATCAGAATGAAAGCAAAAATGTAGAGAGAATGGTGTTAATATGCAACTTTTGCAATAATCTTACCCAACTGTTTTAATAAGAACCTGAAGAAATAATTTTGTTTATTTAAGTGAAAGTTAACTGTGTCAAAAGTGCTTTGCTTATTGGTTCTTTATTTCAATTTTTAAGTGATAGCATATGAAATAAATTTTGGTCAGTAGTTCTGTCAATGTGTCATATATAATAATAAATGTTACTTATTATTTATTTGATTTTTTTCCCTTAAGGCATAACTATGACACCTGATGAAGAGCAAAACTTGAATCATTATATACAAGCTTTAGAGAACCTGATACTAAGTGTTCCCACTAGGGAGCCAGGTCGTGAGAAAAAATCTAATTCTCCAAAACATGTTTATTCTGTAAGATCGAAGGGATCAAAATTTAAGGAGATAATTACACATGGAGACACTTCAACTGAGAATGATGGTTTAATCAATCCTATGGGTGAAGAAACTACTACTTTCCCTACTAGAGGCTTCACACCAGAAACAGGAAGGAAAAAACACATGGAAAGTACCCCATTCTGGTCGATCAAACCAAACAATGTTTCCATTGTTTTACGCACAGAGGAACCTTATATTGAAAATGAAGAGCCAGAGCCAGAGCCAGAGCCGGAGCCAACTGCCAGACAAACTAAGGCACCAAAAACATTGCCAGTTGTTACTGAATCGTCTACAAGTCCATATTTCACCTCATGCGAATCACCTGTCACCTCTTTTTATAGGAGCACGGGAATTGAGATGTCTACAGAATCAGAAGATGTTCCTCAGCTCTCTGGTGAAACTGCAGTAGAAAAACCGGAAGAACCAACATTTGGAAGACACCCACAGAGTTGGAATAATGATGACATTTTGAAAAAAATTTTAGATATTAATTCACGAGTGCAACAGGCACTTAGTGACACCAGCAAACCAGAATATAGAGAAGATATTCAAGCCTCTAAAGATTACCTAAAACGAAGCCTTGCTCTAGCAGCAGCAGCAGAACATAAATTAAAAACAATGTATAAATCCCAGTTATTGTCACTAGGACAAACGAGTAATAAAATTGATGACATTGAAACTGTTATTAACATGCTGTATAATTCTAGATTTAAGCTCTATGAATATTTAGATATTAAATGTGTTCCACCGGAGATGAGAGAAAAAGCTGCTACAGTATTCAATACATTAAAAAATATATTATGTGTAGATCAAGGGGAGACTCAAAGTCTTATTAAAAAGTTATTAAACAATAATATAAAAATTTTAAACCTACTTGATATTCCATGACAAAGTTGATTTAAACAAACTGCATTTTTTCCACAGGAGAAATAAGCATATTAGTAATTTCAAAATTTGTATAAAAATATTTTCTATTGTAGTTCAATGTGACAACATCTTTATGTGTCATGTGTTATGAACAATTTTCATATGCACTAAAAACCTAATTTAAAATAAAATTTTGGTTCAGGAGTTTGTAGTTTTTTCTCATTAATTTTAAATGTTGTGAAGATCTTTAAAATGTTTAAGCTTTGATTTTACTCGAATAGATTAAATTTACTCATTTTATAAGTTAAGAGACTGTGATCTCTATAACTAGTTTCAAATAATTGTATATACATAAAGTATAAAATTTTGGATTGTGTGGTCTTTATTTTTTTTCAGATAATCTGAGTTTTCTGTCTTTTTTTTCTTTCTTTTTTTGAGATGGAGTCTCACTGTGTCATGCATGCTGGAGGGCAGTGATACAATCTTGGCTCACTGCCACCTCTGCCTCCTGGGTTCAGGCGATTCTCCTGCTTCAGCCTCCTGAGTAGCTGGGATTACAGGTGCCTGCCACCATGCCTGGCTAATTTTTATATTTTTAGTAGAGACAGGGTTTCGCCATGTTGGCCAGGCTAGTCTCCAACTCCTGACCTCAGGCAATCTGCCCACCTCAGCCTCCCAAAGTTCTGGGATTACGGGCATGAACCAGTGTGCCCAGCGAGTTTTCTATCTTAATAGTGTAACTTGGGGCTTGTATCTAAACTTTTATTTGAATATAGTTGTGCCTCCTTTGAACTTTAGATAATATATTAAGACACAAACTTATTCTTTTGTCATTAAGTACTTTTGGACTTCTCACTTCTTCTCCTTGTGTACATACACATTGAAGCTTTGCAAATCTTTTGTCAGAGAGTATGACTGACACCATTAAGGTTAATTGTGTAATATTATAATTTTGGTTCAGGTAATTCTGTTTATGATTTGACCAGTATTCAAACACATTTATTTATCAAGATATTCATAGTTTGATAAAGATTTATTGACCTTTTACTATGTGCAAGACATGATAGATGTTAGGCTTTGGGGATACAAAAATAAGACCTACTTTCTTTTCTCTTTGAGATTATATTATAGCAGGAAAGATAGGCATTAAACAAATAATTTCAAAAATTTTAAAATTTCAGTTGTGATAAGCTGTTATGAAGGTGTGAGATATTTGACCTCAGACCAAGAACAATGGGAAAGTTACCCCAAGAAAGTGGCAGTTAAGGTCTAGTCTGAAAGATCAGGGTGTGCGTAAGGAGAAAGTGAGCATTCCAGACAGAGGGAACAGCAGGTATGAATACTGTTGTAACACTGGAGTTAAAAATAAGGAGAAGTTCAGGAAGTACCTGGAGTGTAGAAAGGCAAGGAGGAGCATCACAAGATGGATCGGGTGACATATACACCAGGTCAGAATAGATCCTGTGGCGCTTTCAGTGCATTATTGAATATTTTAGCCATTACCCTATGATCAATGAGAAGCCATTAGTAGATTTTGAGCAGAAAGGATGGATATGATCAAATTAGCATTAAAAAAGAAAACCCACTCGCTACAGTTTTGAAAGTGGACAAAAGTAGAAGTGCACTGTGCACAAGCCAAATGTTGCTTGAAGTAGGTGGAAAGAAGTGGCAATTAAGAGGGAGAATCAGGCTAGGCACAGTGGCTCATGCCTGTAATCCCAGCACTTTGGGAGACCAAGGTGGGCAGATCACCTAAGGTCAGGAGTTCAAAACCAGCCTGGCCAACATGGTGAAACCCTGTCTCTACTAAAAATGCAAAAATTAGTAGGAGACATGGTGGTGGGCACCTGTAACCCTGCCTGGCTGGAAAATTGCTTGAACCCAGGAGGCGGAGGTTGCAATGAGCCGAGATTGTACCACTGCACTCCAGCCTGGGAGACAGAGCAAGACTCTGTCTTAAGGGGAAAAAAAAAAAGCAAGGGGATCCAAGATGGCCAAATAGGAACAGCTCTGGAGTGCAGTCTCCAGCCAGAACAACAAAGAGGGTGAGTGATCACCACATTTCCAAATGAGTTATTACTGCCCACAGACCAGGAGATTCCCAGGCTGAAAAGCGCCATGTTTCCAAGCCGAGTTTCCAGCATGGCTGTTTCAGCTGGCGCAGTGGGTCTTCACACAAAAACTCACACAAATCTGGGTGGCTGTTTCAAATGGCACTTGGAATGCCTGGGAGACAGAGCTACCCATTCAACCGAAAAAAATGGAGCTGAAACAGGGAGGCAGGTGATCTGGCTTGGCAGGTCCCACCCCCACAAAGACCAGCAACCTGAAATGCTTTGGATTGAGACTTTAACAGCAAGCACAGCTGGACCCAGGGTGGTCCACCTCTGTGGGGGGAAGGGCGTGTCCACCATTACCAAGGCAGTCCACCACTACTGAGGCAGTCTGCCATTTCCGAGGCAGTCTGCCATTACCAAGGCAATCCGCCATTACTGAGGCAGACCATCATTACCGAGGCAGTTCTAACTATATAGACAAAACCACAAGGAAGTTCACACAGCAGCTGGGCAGAACCCACGGCAGCTCAGCAACGCCTCTGCTGGCAGACTATGATTAGGCCATCTACTTGCTGGGCAGGGCATCTCTGAAAAAAGGCAGCAGCACATCAGGAACTTATAAATAAAGCCCCACCTTCCCAGGACAGAGCACCTGGGAAAAAAGGCAGTTATGAGTTCCACTGCAGCAGACTTAAACATACTTGCACAGCAGCTCTGAACAGAACAATGGAGCTCACAGCTCAGCACTTGAGCTCCTATAAAGGGACAGACTGTCTCCTCAAGCAGCTCCCAGACCCCTGTATATCCAAAGAGACACCTCATAAAGGAGAGCTCAGGCTGACAGCTGATGGGTATCCTTCTGGGACAAAGATAACAGGAGAAGAAACTGGCAGCAACCCTTACTGTTCTGCAGCTGCCACAAGTGATCCCCAGGCAAGCAGGGTCTGGAGTGGACCTCCAGTAGTCCTACAGCAGAGGTGCCTGACTGTTAGAAGGGAAACTGAAAAGCAGAAAGAAGTAACTTCATCATAAAAAAGAGGACATCCACTCAGAGACCCCATCCGGAAGTCACCAAATACAAAGACCACAGGTAGATAAATCCACAAAGATGGAAAGAAACCAGCGCAAAAAGGATGAAAACACCCAAAACCAGAATGCCTCTCCTCCTCTAAGGGATCACAACTCCTCACCAGCAAGGAAACAAAGCTGGATGGAGAATGAGTCTGATGAATTGACAGAAACAGGCTTCAGAAGGTGGGTAATAACAAACTTTTCTGAGCTAAAAGAACATGTTCTAACTCAATACAAAGAAACTAAGAACCTTGAAAAAAGGTTTGACAAAATGCTAACTGGAATAAACAGCTTAGAGAAGAATATAAATGACGTGATGGAGCTGAAAAACACAACATGAGAACTTCGCAAAGCATACGCAAATTTCAATGGCCAAATTGACCAAGCACAAGAAAGCATATCAGAGATTGAAGATCAACTCAATGAAATAAAATGAGAAAGCAAGATTAGAGAAGAGTGAAAAGACATGAAAAAAGCCTCCAAGAAATATGGGATTATGTGAAAAGATCTGATCTACATTTGATGGGTGTACCTGAATGTGATGGAGAGAATGAATCCAAGCTGGAAAACACTCTTCAGGATATTATCCAGGAGAACTTCCCCAAACTAACAAAGCAGGCCAATATTCAAGTCCAGGAAATACAGAAAACACCACAAAGATATTCCTCAAGAAGAGCAACCCCAAGGTACATAATTGTCAGATTCACCAGGGTTGAAATGAAGGAAAAAATGCTAAAGGCAGCCAGAGAGAAAGGTCAGGTTACTGACAAAGGGAAGCCCATCAGACTCACAGTGAATCTCTTGGCAGAATCCCTACAAGCCAAAATAGAGTGAGGGCTGATATTCAATATCCTTAAAGCAAAGAACTTTCAACCTAGAATTTTATATTCAGCCAAACTGAGCTTCATAAGTGAAGGAGAAATAAAATCCTTTACAAACAAGCAATTGCTGAGAGATTTTGTCACCACCAGGCCTGCCTTACAAGAGCTCCTGAAAGAAACACTAAACATAGAAAGGAACAACCAGTACCAGCCACTCCAAAAATGTACCAAATGGTAAAAAGCATCAACACGATGAAAAAACTGCATCAACTAATGGGCAAAACAACCAGCTAGCATCAAAATGGCAGGGTCAAATTCACACATAACAATATTAACTTTAAATGTCAATGGGCTAAATGCCCCAATCAAAAGACACAGACTGGCAAATTGGATAAAACGTCAAAACCCATAGGTGTGCTGTATCTAGGAAACCCATCTCACATGCAGGGATACACATAGGCTCAAAATCAAGGGATGGAGGAAGATTTACCAAGCAAATTGAGAGCAAAAGAAAGCAGGAGTTGCAATCCTAGTCTCTGATAAAATAGACTCTAAACCAACAAAAATCCAAAGAGACAAAGAAGGGCATTACATAATGGTAAAAGGATCAATGCAACAAGAGCTAACGATCCTAAATATATATGCACCAAATACAGGAGCACCCAGATACATAAAGCAAGTTCTTAATGACCTACAAAGAGACTTAGACTCCCACACAATAATAGCAGGAGACTTTAACACTCCACTGTCACTATTAGATCATTGAGACCGAAAATTAACAAGGATATTCAGGACTTGAACTCAGATCTGGACCAAGCAAACCTAATAGACATCTACAGAGCTCTCCACCCCAAATCCACAGAATATACATTCTTCTCAGCACCACATCACACCTACTCTAAAATTGGCCACATAATTGCAAGTAAATCACTCCTCAGCAAATGCAAAAGAATGGAAATCATAACAAACAGTCTCTCAGACCACAGTGCAATCAAATTAGAACTCAGGATTCAGACCCACACAACTTCATGGAAACTGAACAACTGGCTCTTGAATATTGACTGGATAAACAATGAAATGAAGGCAAAAATAAAAATGTTCTTCGAAACTAGTGAGAACGAAGACACAACGTACCAGAATCTCTGGGACACATTTAAAGCAGTGTCTAGAGGAAAATTTAGAGCAATAAATGCCCATATGAGAAGCAAGGAAAGATCTAAAATTGATACCCTGTCATCAAAATTGAAAGAGCTAG